AAGAAAGAAAAAAAAAATATATATATACCTAAATATTAAAACTACAAAATAAGAATTTACGATCTATTAAAAAGAAGAAAAAAAAAAAAATTACAAACTCAGAAACAGAAATAAAACAAAACATTTCTGAGAATAAATAAACAAAGGAAAAAAAATAAATAAACTGTCTCTTGGAGAAGAAAAAAAAAAGTTCTACAAGTCTTTGGTTTCGTACTGAGATCAGCTGACGGAAGCGAGCTAGTATACAAACCTTGGCCGGGAACTTAACGTAAATAAGATAAGAAGCAAGGGAATTAACAGCCACATGGGCTATTCAAACGAGCACTAATTTATCACTTCATTGTTAATAAATTGTAACTCACCTCTTTATCCGTGAACTTAAAAATGTTCAACTGTTTATAATGTCACTGTTAATCAATTATTAACACAGAGTTTTGATTAATAAGCACATAGCAAAGTAATAATCACAGAGCGAACTGAAAACTAAACTGCAGTAGCGGCCATGACACTTACTCTGTACGAAACTTAAATCGCGTATTTAAGATTTGTATATGGGTCCGATGTGACAGCAACTTTTTCGTTAAAATCAGCTTACCGGAATTGCTACTTTATATCATCGACTTTTTACAATTTTCTCGAAAACGGCTTTAAGGATTCCGATTAAACTCGATATATCAGTGTAAAATTAAGCAGTTTTAAATAAATGTTATTTCCTTTAATTTTTGAAACTTGTAGTTCTGGAAATGAGCAGTTTCTGTATTAGAGTTCTGAGTTTATATGTGGCTGTATATACCTATTCATCTTCCATTTGATATCAATTGTACTGGTACGGAGAGAAAAACGCATGGAGTTTTCTTAGTCCGTTGTTGAATTTAAATATTGGTTGGTGTTTCTCTGATTGATTGTGTTTGTGATGTTCTAGCTCAGATATTTCACCAAAACCTGGGAGAAATGTTTCAGTAAAATTTTGCACGTGTGTGGGCAACACAATATTATACATTGTAGTATTTCATTATTGGTATGAAAAACCTTTTTTAAGCTATCAATGTTGTTATCATTTTTAATATATTGGAGAAACCTAAAAGCAGTAGCTTGACTCTCCAATCAGTCGTTGATTAAATATGGAAGAAATTTAACTATCAAGACCACATTTTAAGGACAATGATAAGGGTATTTCATAATGTTCACATGATTCGATTTGTAGATATGTCTGTGCTGTTGAATTATAGTTTGTTTGGAATTTAAAATAGGACGTTAAGGTGGTCTAAGCAGTTGTAACTGGATCATGTGAAGTCAGTGTAACGGTTTCATCTTTTGTCTTGTGCCATGTAAAAGTTATAAAATAAATAGTTATATTTGTAATGGTTTTGATAAGGATTTTTATTTTTAATTTATTGATTTTTGAATTATGATATAATTGTACATATTTACAAGCTTATATTTTTATTTGCTACTTTTATCAGAGATAATTTCTGTAATTTTGGTTGAGGATTCCAATATCAGCCAACCCGATTTTCATTTGTATTTATTTGTTGTTAATTTTGGCATCACTGTACGATTTTTTTTTTTTTTTTTTTTTTTTTACGAACTATAAAGATTTTTTTCCATAAAATTGTACGTGATTAAACTGTTAAAAATAAATAAAGGGAGAAAATAGTAAATTTATGTCTCAATTATTACGTTAAAATCAAACATGGAAGTCCTCTGACACTTCGTTTGTTTATTTTTCTGATCACATTATTGTTAACTTCATTTTTGAAAAAAATATTTAAGAAATAACAACTTTGTTATGCTCAATTTATGTTTAAAAGTTAAAAAATATATTAATAAAAATATCATGGGTGATAAATATTCAGGATTCAGTCATTATAACGTTTTTATTAGAGCCGACGTTTCAACCCAAACATGTGAGTCATCATCATATCTCTTATTGTATTTAGAAATTTTCAGCCCTGATGATGATCCACATGTTTGTGTTGAAACGTCGGCACTAATAAAAACTTTAAAATGACTGCGTCCTGAATATTTATCACCCATTATATGTAGAACAATCGACTAACTTCCTTAAATAATTAAAAATAAATCATTCTTTCCTACTCCTGTTTCTTAAGTATCTTCTAGCAAATGGAAAATTGAGTCGATGCAGCATTATTCATATCCACGATAAAATATTGTTGTAATATTCTTCTCGATTAACATTAATCTTAGTTTTAATTTATCACGGATTAGATTTCATTAAAACGCATTTAGACCTGTTGATTCTGTTTAAAAAAAACTAATAAAAAAAAAACTGCAGCCATTCTTTCCTGTCTAGCTTGCATTTCTCAATCCTCTTATTGATTTTTTTATACAAATTACGTTCCAATTTTAACAAAGATAACGTAACAATTTTAACAACAACTAAACCACTGGTTTAGTAATAATTTAAACTTAGATTAATATTTATTACTTAACTTAAAGTTTTAAAATATTACAGTTTGCATTATTGCAGCAGCCTGAAGTTCTCACGTGATCCCGAATGTACCTTTTGATAAAATATTGTAATATAAGCCTAATTCGGAAGCCTTGTCTGATTTTGTTCTGTATAAATTATCCTCGAGGAATTGACGCTATGGTTTAGGTATGTTATTGATTTGTTGCTTTATACGAAAAACTATATATTGAATATTTAATATTTGACCGTTTCTTTACAAAGGAAGGAGATGGTCCGGGGTGGCGGTCATATATAGGCTAAATAGTAGCGAAACAATTTTATTAAAAGCCAAAGTTTCGACCTGACTTTGCAGGTCTTCTTCAGTGCTAGAACCGGCAAGATACAAAAAGATAGAGAATTGTGGAAGTGTAACTCTAAGTAATAGAATATGTATGTTTCTAATTTTATTTACTTATTTATTTAACTTTCTTTTTTCTTTTCTTTCTCCACATTCCTTTATGTCTATCATTTCATTTTATATCCTTTTTCCTTTTCTTTCAATCTCTTCTGTAGATCTGTAGAAGTATACTCACATTTGCATTTATTATATATTACACTACAACAACTGTTACCATCTATTTACTTCAGTTTAGGATCTTGTTACTTAGCTTATTTTGTTTATATTTTAGTGTACTTACTATCTATAATTTTAATAAGATTATTCACATTGTTTATAATTTTTTGTCTAAATATTATGTAACTTCCACAATTCTCCAATCTTTTTGTATCTTCTAGTCCGTTCTAGCCCTGAACAAGACCTGCAAAGTCGGGTCGAAACGTTGGCTTTTAATAAAATAGTTTTGCCACTACTTATCCTATTTATGACCACCATCCCGGACCATCTCCTTTCTTTTGAAAAACTATACATTATGAACAGGGCTTAGATTTAGTTGGATGGAAACAGTTCTCCGGCTGTTTGAGTCAGTGAAATTTATTACAAATCTGGCATTTTGCCAATCAATAGTAGACTTTTTAGTTTTAAATCTGTAACATTGGTTCCTGGCAATCATCGCATTAATCAAGTGTGTGGATCGCCCCCAAACCACAGCCTCCGGCATCGTTACAAATGGCATCTTCTATTAGGCAGATTCATCTGTTCGCTTGCGGTTGGACGAGGCCCAAGCGTGGTCAGGATGTTCTCGTGCAATATCGTTTCAACCTCCACTTGCTTCATGTCCGTTACTTAATATAAATAATTTGAGTTTATTTAAGAAATTGACCTTAGGTTTAAGGACCCCAGACTTGGCAATGTTCCCACTTCCTCGATCGCTGAACAGAAGCTGCCTGTTTACCTAATTTGGGAAAATTTTGCCTGAATTCTTTTTTGGGTGGCTCAAAAAAAAAAAAAAAAAAAAAAAAACTGGTAAGTGCCAGTAACATTTTTTATTTTGGTTTTCGACTTGAGAATTTCTTTGGCGCGGTTACTACGTTATCAAGAGTTATTAATGCAGCCATTGATTTAAATTTTAAACCTCTCAAGTGTATTAGAATCTAGCTGTAAATACCCGTATTGCCTAAATGTTAGGGGAGGATTAAAAACAAATAAATAAATTCAGCCGCGGTTCGATCGTGATGCATATCCAGTAATTATAAACTGGGCGCTCTTAATTATAAATGATTAATTGAGAAGTAAAAGCTCAAGTCGTCTCATCTTCTACATCCGTTTACCTAGAATATATATTTATAAATGTTTTGGGCTCTTCAACCGCCTGGGTCATTTTCGCCCCATATTACAATTGGATCAACTACTACATAGGCATCCATAACAAAAGTACAGCTAACAAATACAATTTAAAGTTTAGAAAGTTCAGAGTAGTTACAGATAAATGTGATAAATATAAATACAATTGATGTAAAGTTATCAAAATTGAAAGCTAAAAATTAAAAGGAAATAAGTTAACAAAGACAATTAAAATAAAGGTGAATGATTTTAAGAACAAAAACTAAAAATACGTTTTAAAAAAATAATAATTAATATTAATAGAAGAGAAGTTAAAGAGTAAAGTTTAAATATTAAAAAGTACAAGAAGAAAAGTTCACAAAAAACATTGAAATCAAATATTAAAGATTAAAAAAAGATAAGTTAACAAATACATTTAACAAATAAAAGGTTAACGATTTCAAGGATATAACATAAAAATATGATTTAAAAAATGAAATTAACATTAAAAGAAGAAAAGTAAAAAGTACCATTTAAATATTAAAAATTACATGAAGAAAACTTGAAAAACCATTATAATTAAAAATTAAGATTAAAAGAAAAAAAATTAACAGGTATATTTACAATTACAAGATGTGATTAGATTTTGTACTAATTTGTATATACGATTACAGTTTTTTGAAATATTTTGATCTCCTTAAGGAACAATATTAAGTTTTTAATAGCATTGGGGTCGTTTTGGAGTGATTGCTTTACCTAGAAACAGTAATTCCTAAAAAGCACTGAATTTTAGAGCCTCCATGGTTTGTAGTGGTGCAGATTTTATTATTATTTTTTTTTTAACAATAATAATACAATCTGCCACAATCAAGGGCACTGAGTATTATGACTGTATGTGTACATTCATACTATTATACATAGAAATTGAGAAAAAGTAAAATAAGAAAAAAAATATTTAAGTAAAAACATATATAACATAAAAGGATAACAAAAATAAAAATAATTGTAATAAGAAAAAAAAATTACTTGTCACACATTCATTCCTATATACAATATTTACATTCAGCCTGGGGAACCCTGAACCATGCTTTTGCCGCTCTCATGTGAAAAGCAAAACAGGGCTCGAAGAGATCCCAGCGATTCTCTCCCATCCGGATCACTGTTTGAAGTGAGAGCGTTAACCCAGCAGATCTTTTTGATTCTTCTTTTATTGCTGTTATTGTTTTTTCTCTTGATGTTGACTCTTGTCTGTAAGGTTATCTCTGACAATGCTCCTTTTAGACTAATACTAATTAAATAATTTCCAAAGAGTGATAATAGTTCATTTATCTCACTGGATCTAGGCATCATTGCTTATGAAAGCCTATCTCTCCCTCTCTATCTAGATAGTGCTCATGTTTTTATAGATTCGTTCCGCATTCATCAAACTATTTGTTTTTCCAACTGAACCTTTTATACTTTTTAATGGATCAGGTTATTTGACGCTATAATTATTTACTTGTATTATTTGTCTCAGTTCTATTACTTCTTTTTAGCCGGCAGTAAGATCTGTAAGCATTGAATGGAGATTCAGTCAAGTTTAAGACTTACTTAAACTGAAAGAGAGAGGTTGAGATGAGAAGTTGGAACAAGACGAGCGGTGACCCCAAGCAGTGGCCTCGTCCATTATTAGCGGACCAATGGGAGGCAGCCTTCCAACATCGCAACTCGTCCTTCTATTCGAGGAGTCAAGGGCGATCGGCGAAGGTCTGTCCGTTGGAGGGTGCGAGCTGGGGGGTGGAGTCGGGTCAAGAGTCATAGCAGTCCTCTTAGCTATGGAACAAAGATCCTGTTTTAGTTAAAATAATTTTATAAACAGATCTAAGGTTGGCGATATTTAAGTATTTATTTCTACGTGTTTTTGTCCCCTTTTTTTTTACCTTTATTTCATTTGTTGATTTCTAATGATATCCTGATATATTACCTTTTAATGTTTGATAGGTACATTTTAAGGTTTTTCTGTTCGATTCTTTTTTTTCTCATTTTACAATTATTTTGTCGCTGACAATAATGTTGGGAATAATTTTCGGGGTTAGTGAGATTTGGGGGTCGTGAACAGATGATAGAACATGTAAGATTTTAGCCTAACCTGTATACGGATGTAAAAAGAGCGGTGAATTTCAGACGTCTTTCAAGTTATATTTATAGATAGACCAGATTGTATGGCATTTATTTGATCGATTAACTAACTCAAACATTTTTAGGTGCCTCTGATTTGTTTTTAAAAAGCATTTTTAAATAAAAAAAACATTAAATATTTGTGTATGTGTTTTTTTTTAAATAATTTATTTATCTTTAAGTTATTTATATGCTTTTTGATTATTATTTTATGGTTGTTTTCCCTCTGTTTATTTTATATCCTTTTGTACATATTGTGTGAATGTTATCTTACCTCCTTATTACAAATGTCCATGTGACAGATTGTTATATTATTCAATAAATAAGTAAATAAAAAGAAAATGGTTTTAGTTCAACACTCATACTTTTAAATTTAATTATTTTATCGATATATATTTTTAAAATAAACATATCCCCCCCTCCCCTATTGGCTTTACAGATTTTGTAGATCATTTGCTGCCTTAACCATTCAATGCCACCTTCTTCTTCTTCTATATTGCGTTATTTCTTTCCAGTTTTATGCTTTGTTGATTCTATCTATCTATCCATGTAGTTTCTTGCCTACTATTGAGGCATTCCGTTTTGTGTAAAATATTCTTAATGGATTGCCCTTAGTTAAGGCCCCGCCCATATTAACATTCTTGCCTCCATATCGTATTACGTGATGGAATATTTTATTATGTTCATTTGATGGTTTGTTACAATGATAAATGACTTCGATAATATAGGCATTGAGGATAGAAAAACATTCCACCATATAATTCTAGACTATATTTTTTATGTAGTACATACCACTTCAACAGCCTAAAAAGTATAACAAAATAAAAATGGATTATTTTGAATCCAGGTTTGGAATGATATGTTTAAATAGTCATTCCGTTGTTAAAATCCAAAAAATTATGACACAAAAAGTGTATTGATTATATTTAAAAAATGGAAGGTATTCAATGCAACAGTCCACAAAATAACGAAACTTACATTTAACTTGTCGCAGCATTAACTCTTCCAAGTTCTTGGTTTACTGGTAGGCATAAATGAAGTCGAGGCAAAGTTAGAGGGAGGTGAGTGAGGTTTACATTATTGGAATTAAAAAATAAATTTTTAATAATAAACTAAATAACAATGAATGAGACTAAATAATAATTCAGTCAATTTTATTCTTAACAGGAATAACTGTCAGGAGTTATTAACAAATATAGAGAATAATGTTAATATATTAGTAATAGTCTTTTCGTTGGCAAATGTAATTCATACAATGTTTATCACCAGTTACAATAATTATGTAATTATTAAAAAAATCTAATAATTAGCACATCTATGATCTTTTCGGCTGTCATTTTACCATTTCTCGATGTTTATAAAATGCCTGTTTACTGAAGCTAACAATGAATTATCATTTTCTATACTAAAAAGTCATAATAAAATTACCTGAGAAATAATTAAGAGAACATTATAATTTTTTTTTCAGTTTTATTTTATATTTGGGTTTTTTATTTTTATTTTTTTATCTTTTAATATCAATCTGCACCTATGGACGACTGTTGACAATCGGCAGATGGTCTGATTAAAGTAACAAACGGACATGTCAGGCATGGGGAATGTAGCACTTCCCCAATGTAGCAAGTCTTCTCTGACTTGATTCAGTTACCATGGTTTGTTAATGAAGGAGTTCTCGCTTCCAGCGCCTTTTAGTCTCCTCCTCATATTGATGGGCATGTCAGTTGACGCTATATATCTGATTAGTATGTTAGTACGTCTATGTAAATTACCGTGAAATCGTTTGTACAGAGTTCTTATGTGTTGATCAACTGTAGGCAGGAGGAAGTCGATATGTAAGGTTTTATTTGTCACGTACCAAGGTGCTTTAGTTATAAATCGTAATATTTTCGAGCCATATATCTGCGAGGAGTAAGTCCATATTGGTTTAAGTAAGTATAGGTATGTATTTAGTTTCTGTCTCAGTTCTAGTTTTGAAGACTTGGAAAAAAAAGTGAGTTAAGTAATTTGAGTCGTCTATTGTGGGACCTCCTTTTCATTTTTACATGTGGGTATTTCAAATAAACTTTTAAATTATGATTAATAAAATTCAAAAATTTCGACTAAACATTTAGTGTTTTTTTCTGGTCAGCTAAATTTTCATTCCTCATGCTCAACTCAGCTGCTTTCCACAATTGTGAAAAATGATGATGAAACGACAATACTGCTTTAAATTAATATAATTGTGAGTTAAATACAAGACCTTGTACTGATTAATAAATTCCAGGAAATGCTCACTAAACCTTATCAAAGCAGTTTAACCTTGTTCCTTATCAAGTGTCCTTCGGTCCTCAAGGCGTCGTAGCTCTTATTGCCAGTCTTCTGCTTTCCGCGCAATACCACGAATTGCAAATGGAATGATCAATCAACAGCTATAAATAACTCAGTTTAAAATAATTCCATAATCCATCAGTCAATCCTGATAAGATTCATTCCCAACGGTGTCCATTTTTTTTCTAGTTCCCTGCACATAATATAGATATTGCCAATATTTTTGCCAAGCAAAAATATTTTTGTTGTGTATCTTTTTTTTTTTTTTTTTTCGAGTTTAAAGAAAACTGATATAAACCTGTTGAAAAGAGATGTACTATTTCTATTCTCATTCAGTGATTGGCCAGGATAAGTTGTAAACGTTGACTTGTAAACTATGAAATAATGTTAGAGAACTAAAGACTTTGGTCTTGGTGTATTACCCCATCGTATTACACAGTTGAATTTTTGAAAGAAATTATGAAAAAAATATTTATTTTTATTCTGAGACATTTGTCCTCTAAAAATAACAAAAACGTACATTAAAACATTTGCCTGGCTGCATTAAAAAGCAAAATTAAATTAAACTAAAGACAAAACTTGATACATAAATATTTATATGCTTATCTTCTCAATATATATTTATATCCATATTCATTTCTATTAGTTATTTACATACATTTTACACCCACTTATATGGTAATGGTTCTTAATTAAGTACACGGAAAATTGATGATCCAGGTGATGGAAAATTGGTAGTGACTGAATGAGATTAGTGAGAGGGTTTTACGAATGGAGTTGAATACGAAATTACACAATGTGGTAGTGCGAATAAGTAAGGATTTTTTAAAGGAAGCTGTTCTGTGAGAGGGTATATACATTTCGGGAGGTAGAGATTTCATGGATAAATGGAATGGATAAAAGATTGCACGATAATGAGATCAAAAATATAGGATGTTTTTTTTTCTCTCTAGAATTGGAGTAGGAAATTACTAAGGATATATTGTCTTCGGAAATAAACACCAAGAAATCTTTATTATTATTGTTCTACATCTTGGAAGGCAGATATTTCATATTTTAGAGGTAGACAGAAGATTGCACGGTGATAAGGTCAAAAATATGGGGGTTTTTTGTTCCCAATGATGGAATAGGAAGTCACCAAGGAGTATTGTCTTTGGAAATTAAGAAATAAACAGCTTTCCTATGAATATCTGTGCAAATGTCTAGGAACAGCAAGGATTCTTTATGCATAATTGGTCACACCATAGGTTTCTAATTGACTTATGTTATATGTTTTTCTCCTCATTTTTTTGCGAGGAAAAATCGAAATTTAGGATCTTATTTCTAAGTTCTAAATCTAAAATGCGTTATCTAATAAATTTGTACTTGCAGGTTTTTCGCAGCATGTATTCATAAATCAATTCATTCGTAACTAAGCAATAATTACTTACAGTGTTGTTTTCTTATTTTTTTTTCTGATCGTAAATTTGTTAGACTAAATTCAACTGACGTACGTTGTTATTAAAACTATACTTTTTCTTTTCTTCCAATTATGGCTCACACATTGACTCAACATGATTATGAACCTTTTTCTATGGTGAATAATGCCCATTTCGCAACTTGCTGTAATAATCGAATAACTTATAATAAATTAATCTATCCTTGACTTGTTATAAATTGTTGGTATTACTAACAGTTTATTATAACAAATTCTTTAGTAAATGACATGTTATTAACTCTTTGAAAAAGTGTCTTAAAGATAGTTCTTTTCGGAGTTTTTAAGTCTTCATTGGTTCAATTGCGGAATTGGAAGATGTTAAGTATCATATTTTATAAGAAACAATATGAAAATAAATAAGAGAAGGATGGTTGGGTTGATCAGTCAGAAATAAGAAGGCAAAAATAAATAATAATATTTATTTTAACATTTGCCGACGTTTCGACCTGAAGTTCAGGCCTTCATCAGGGCTCTTCCAACAGCTGACTGGTTTAGAACTCTATTCCAGTAAGCTATTGGAAGAGCCCACAATTGACACAGACACAAGAGTCAACCATTAACCCACAGTTATGAAAATAAATAAATTTAAAAAAAAAACACTTTTTTAAGTACTATTTGGCATCGTATTTAAATCTTCTTTTCCAATGTTTTCGGCTAAATGAGAGTTGTATGCATCTTGTGAGAAATATATATTCACTGTTGCTATTTATTTTACTAACCGTGTAGGATCCACTTACTTGTTTATTTTCTTGTATGATATAGAAAGTTTGTATGGAAACAATCATATCTCTAATTATCAATTTTGTTTCACTTTTCTATTACTATTACCATCTCGAAATCATAGATATCTTGCTGTTTAATTTTAGATTATTCTTACTCCTTCGTTAGTATTTCCAGGTGGTTCCAAGGGCGTCCAACGTCCTCGCTTAGCACCTGCAATGCTCTTGAATATCTTCGGAGATCTCTACTTAGTCTGCGAAACGGCCAACTGCCTTTGTGGTGTTCAAATGGTGTAATGACCTACCATCTCTCTTTTTATGGTATATACTACGGGTCTCTAAACGTTTTGGTTCCCGGGTCACATTGAGAGCTCGACTAAGTTCCGCGGGCCGCATTGAAACTTCCAACCAAGCCCCGTGGGCCATGGCTTGTTATAAAAAAAAAAAATGTTTTTCTAGAATAACGCATGACATTGTCGTATGAGCTTTCTAAGAGAAAAAAATACAATTAATGTTGTGATAATCCCATGTGCGAGTAATTTGCTAAATTTCATATTTTTAAAATTATACCATTTAATAAAAATAAACCTTCGCTGGCCGGATTAAAAAAGGTGCATGTAGGACGTAGGTTAAAGACCCGTGGTAAATACTGTTGGCGAACTACTAATATACTCACACAAGGGAACATTAGAAAAGTAATCAAATCCTTGAGGAAAACTAAAAAAAAAACGCTGCAAATTATTTCACAGTGGTTTATTATTTCCAAACAACTATACATCTAAAGTAACATTACCTTCCTATTTACAAAGAAAAATAAATAAAAGGTGATTCCAATTGTTGGACTGAATAGCATTATTTCAGTAACTCATTCAAAATTTAAAAAAGGATAAAACATTTGCAGTAGAACATAAAAAAAAACCTCGAGACCATATCTGTGTTCCTAATTGTCTAATTTTTTTTTTTGTGTGTGTTTTAGGAAATTCAGTAAACTTTTAAAAAACCATACAATATCAACAAAATAATGGATGCTTTTTAAGTTATTTGGAATTAAATTTTACCATCCCTCGTAACTTTTTTTCCAGCTTCTTTTCGTTGAAGTATGTTTAATAGATAAATTTAAAAGGCGTCAAGAAAATGAATTTAGTTTCATTGAAATCGGTACATTCGTTTAGGAGCTAGAGTCTATAGCAACGCAGGTTTTTCGGCCGCCATTTTGAAAGTACAAGGCGGATAGTAATGTCGATGAAAGAGGATCATCTTCGGGTGACCTCTGATTTTATATCTAAATTTGAAAAAAATCGGTCCAGTAGTTTCGGAGAAAATGCGCTGACAGCGGACGGACAAAAAAATTGTTATTCGTTTTTCGGATTCTACGCATCCTGAAACGTGAAACCTCAAATTTTGAGAGGGGTTAAGTTTTTGAATTTTTTGGTCTATCACAATGGTTGATTATTGAAAATAATAAACCAAAATAAAATAAAGAATTACAATTATCTATATAAGAATTACAATACTTCTATTAGTTTTCGTTTAATTTATTACTACCCTAATTTTATTCTCCACATTCTTTTATGACTACTCGAGATTTGACAGGAATGGCACTACGCACAACTAAGCCTTCAATGGATTACCAGCAAGAAATTTTTATTCATCGTGATTTGGTTATAACCATAACAACTGCTGATTTTTTCTTTTGCATATTTTTCGGAGATTGGCAGTGTAAAAAAATAGTGGTAGGGCGGAGCCACATCATGAGAGTGGAGACACGTCTATGTTATGGCCTGCATTGCATTACACATACTGTTGCCATGTTTTTCTTATTAGCTTATACTTGTATTTTTAAAAATTATTTTTCCATTCTTTCTTTCACCCTGTTGTTTCTGAATTAAAATATTTAGTTTAATATTTATTTTATTAGTTTTCATAAATGAGAGCAGAGAGAGGTTTATCTCTTTTTACAGATGTATACGTCAAACCATTGTTCACTCGGGCCACACCCCAAGTCCCCACCACACTTTTGATACGTACTGTTATTTCATGTTTTCAGCTATATGTACGTTCTTTTTTTCACTTAGATTCTATTACAGGTCAAATTTATGCGGTTTTTTTCCATTAAATTATTCAATTCTTTTCTTTATGGATTTTTTCATCTCATGGAAATCTTCCTAGTACATGCTTTTCGCCTGTTTTTTAAAATTTTGGGTTAAAATGGATCGGCTGCATTCCTTCAATTAAATAAAATGCTTAAACGTTAACATGAAATGCTTTTATGTTAGTGAACTTGTTAGCACAGCTAGCAACATTTCTCGGTGAGAACATAGGTAAAGAAAACCTCAGATATACCCACACTAATGTAATCATAAATTTAATTATTTTATAAAAATGTGCATTATAATGTCAATAATTTATTTTCTCCTTACTTACTAAGCTGTATAATAGTTTTAGCTATCGTATTGTATTAGATTTTTATTTTTATATCTTTAGAAAGGTTTAAATTATCTAAAACAATTAATGGTCTTCTTTAATACCTAGATCGAAATTATTTGTATCAACTCTCAACAGTCCTTCCTGTCTAAAGATGTTATGGTTTGTTTTAACGATAGAGTTTGAGTTTTAATACCAAGGCAGTTGGAGGCTGTTAAATCCTTCAGAAGACCATCTACGTGACAAGATTACAACGGCTACTGTTTAATGATCATAGATTTTACTTAACCTGAGCTCACCACTAAGTACGTTATGAGCTGTAGAGGAGGGGGAGGTACCCTACTTCCTCAGAACTGTTAATTCCTTGTTGGTCGAGGTGAAAGTGAGGCGCTGGGTGATTAGCAGTTATTTGTCTTCTCGTCTCTGACCTGAATCTGTATTTACTCAATGCATAACTTCGTCTTATTTTTTCTGACATTTGCATTCCAATTTAACGAGCTTTTTAAATATTTTATTTTCAAAAATCAAAAAGCTATTGGAATTCTAGGTTTTGCATAAGTTACAATTCTCTCTGCGAAATCGATACTCGACTAATTTATCTATAAGTTGATTGCTATAAAGTGTCCACAAGGCTCGATTTGTTTTAGGATATGAGCTCCTATCAATAGTTTCATTAATAACCATTTTAAATTCTAGATAATTCTCATTTGAGCCTACAAATTCGGCTAATCGGTCCAAAGCCGTTCGTTACGTTAATATTCAAGTTGAATTTAAGAAATTTTAAGTTCCATAAAACTGAATACGTCATAGTCACCAAATTAGACCAGCCAGCCATAAGGTATTTAGCACATGGACAAAATTTGTAGTTGTCAGTTTCCCTGCGGATCATTTTCTCTTTTTTTATTCCTTCTTTCTCTCCGCTGTACCTAAGGGCTACCCTATACTAGCCGTACATCCAACTGAATAATTTTGCCGCGAATTTAATTTGGGCTCGTTCACCAGGATTGCTAACCGACCGGGCAGGCCTGCTCCCACTTTGATCCCAATTCTTGAGCCAAAGTGAGACCAAATTCAGTCTTTTAATTTGATTGAGAAATTAATTAATACCGGGTATACCTACACTAATGGGCTGCCTGCAACTGTTCCCACCAAACAGAACTCCAGTAACTTCCTACCTACTTATTGTGGGCCTGTGTTACATTTTATAAATAACACTATCTGTAAATCTTATGATAACATTAAAAAATATTAACAACAACAATTAATAAGATTAATTAATAGAATAATCTAGTATTTATTTATACGGTATATCACTGGTTTAATCTCTCCTTTCTTTCCCTTTTTCTTGGATTACCCTCTTAGCATATTTCTTAAAGGCATCAAATATCTCAGGTGTCGCCAGAAGTTTCTCCAGGGACTGAGGAGGCCATTCCCCTCAGGGAGGGAGTACTCCCCTGCCAATGCTTGTCGAGCGCCAGTGTACATCGGACATTCCAAAAGCATGTGTCTAGCATCCTCAATAGCTCCGTAGCAACAATTAGGATTTGCTCTACTATGAAGGGATGATGATCCAGAGGGGTCCTCCTGAAGAAGGCTAATAAATCAAGAAATAATGACCATGTACAAGGATAGGGACATCATCCGATTTATAAAGGTGGAACGTCTCCAATGGACTGGTCATGTGGCTAGGATGAGCCCAGAAGAGTCTACTCGAAATATCCTGGATGAGAAGATCGAAGCCAAAAGAAGAGTTGGACGCCCAAGGCTGCGCTGGCAGGATGGTGTGACATCGGACTCCGGCTACTTCCTGGGAACAAGAAACTGGAGAGCAGAGGCAGAAAGAAGGCAGGACTGACGGAAATCATTAAAGGAGGCCCTGACTCCTCGTGGGTTGTAGCGCCTTTAAATAATATTAATAACCTTCTATGAAAAAAATATAATTTTTCATTTATGTCTCTACGGCCTGTGAGGAGTTGAACAGCCCAGAAATCCATCTCTACCCAATCATTCTTTATTCTTCTCTTAACATCTGGGAAGAATTTGTAGGTTAGTCTCGCAAGCATCCCACCTTCTCTGCTATTCAGAAAGGACTAGCTCTTCTATTCTGTCAGCTACCTCTCTGACCACTTAATGTGAGTCGAAGTGGTTTGAAATAGATCTGTCTATATTATTGCTATAAATATGTAGGTAATAACATATATAACAATAGTTATAAATATGCAAGCATGTTGGTAAGTATAAATACTCATAACTCTATTAGGATAAAAATAAACTGTCACCTCTACTTTCCAGCCATGATGACAGTAGAAGCGATTTCAAAAATGGTTATGAATTGGCATGTATGTTTATTAATATAATAGCCTCCATTTATTTATAAGGTACCATCCGAAAGCCGTATTTACTAAATTATATATCAGTTTCTTACTGATAATGTTATAATTTATTTAACCACCAATTCTGCCTCTTATCACGTGAGATGTGGAACAACAGGTTGAGCTTAGATTTTTGGAAATTAGCCAGTTTAAACGTATTCCTCAGTGTTGATACAAAAACCAAGCAATTTGGTTTTTTTCCCCTTGGAATATATCTATTCCGGCCCTTGTTTGCAACACAAAGCGCTCATTTCGTGTTTGTCTATATTTTAACGAACCGACAGATGCTCTGTTTCAGAAATTACCAAACAAACTCCGCGAGAGACGAACGAACTCTGGTTCTGCTTCTTAGAATTAATTGTTTACGGTATCCCAGCTATCGCCGCTTCCAAGAAGACTTCTTGATCGGGACGTTCGGAGAAAGGCTCTCGTTTTCTATTCCATGAACGTAGATTTCTCGGATGGGAGGGTGTTCATGACAAGCAGCGATCTTTCTTATTCTAGCTGTGATAGTAAAATTGAAGACCACGGGAGGAAAACAAGCAATGTCATTTTGTATTCAACATTAAAATATTGAGGTGTTAAAAAAAATTTAAGGAAAACAGGTATAATTTATATCAAAATTTCAAATATTTTTTTAAATTTGAAGTTCCAAAAAAGTTCGAAATATTGAAATTATTATAAAATTTAAATTAAGAAACGCTTATATATATATATATATATATATATATATATATATATATATATATATATATATATATATATATATATATATATATTAAGTTTATTAAATGAGACAGTAACTCTTCCATTATTCAAATATATTTACATCATGTACCATATTTGAAACTAATATCTATTTGCGTTTTTCATTATTACATATGTAGAAATTCGGGTATGGAATAAATAGCAGTTTTTTAATAGATCATATCACTTAAGATTAGTTTATATCTATCCTTATCATAAAATGAATGACTACGGTTCATCGTTGATAAAAATATTGATGAGGTCATTGCACTGCCAGCCGCTCACCTTATTATTCACGATATTTTCACCTTATTTTATTTATACAAATGGCTGTAGGAACAGACGAAAACAAGAATTATAGATTATCTTCAGCTTTTACAGAAATGGAAATTCAATTATACGTTAAAAAATATGAAACAAATGACCAAGGACTAGAGATTTACGTAGGCGCAGGCTTTCTACCCTGTTAAATGGGGCGGATGGTCTAAAAAAAAATTCTCGGGAATTTATTGTTTGTATAATAATTATGATTTATAATGGACATAATTATTGTAAAACGATGAATATAATTATCTATAAATATAAATTAAAATTTCAATAATAGAGACATATGGAGTGTGGCAAAATCCTAGCGTAGTACCTACTTCAATACCTTATCTTAGCCATCTCGCCCAATGCTCGGTATTTTCATAACTGATTTACATATTTTATTCATTCGTGTAGATTAATTGTTATTAATTTTGATTTTATTTTAAATTTTTGTTCTTCGAAATATTGAGGAGGTGAGGGAGAGGGAGGTTAGGAGGCGAAACGCCTCTTCTCGCCTCCTCCTTCTTTTAAGTGGGCCTCAATCTCCCAAAGTAGTCAAGTCAATGAATGCTGTAGAAGGGGTTATAGATGGGAATGGCGGCGACACAATTTTTGACTTTAGGTCATTGTTTGGTCTAGTACAGAAGTAAACATACTAAAAGTTTTCTACTCCTAGGTGGTGAGCCAGATGTGGGGGGAGGGGCGCCTTGTAAGTCACTTTTTTCGGTTTTAGCTTATATCAGGAAAACTACAAAGACGTATTGTACACAATTAAAGCTGATAAAATTTTCAATATGATTAATTATATACCTGTTTTCGCTATCTCTCTTGGTTTCCGAGATATAGGTCCTCAACTAGCGCTATTTCTGAAAAAAAAAATGCCGCCTGTTTATTGCTGTTATTTGAGTTTTCGTTTGTATCAGAGAAACTATCCATCGCATCGCCAATGACGTTCAATACAAAATTAAAGCTGATAAAATTTTCTGTATTATTAATTATTTCATTTTTTTTCCGTCCTCAGCTACCGCTAATGTGGAAAAAAAAATTTTTCTCATATTTTTTACTGTATTTAACTAGCTAACTCTTGATTGATTCGTTTTACGATGAAGTTATACGGAAGAAAGTTTTTAATAATTAATTTTCTTCAAGGATATATATTATTTTACAGGTTTATTTTCACCGGTTCAAAAGTTACATCAGTTATAACTTTATATGTAGAATTTACAGAAACAAATATTTTTTACAATAGACGTTGTTGTATGTATGTATATGTGTATGTATTTATGTACACATATACGTATAAAGTTATAACTGATGTAACTTTTGAACCGTTGAAGATCCGTACATATATTATTACAGTATGGCTCGAAATCGGTTTTGTACCAAATATAAGCCCCTGTCATGCTCAAATACCACGAATGGGGTACCGTTGGATTCAGAATTTCACGGAGGGTTAGCGAATCGTATTCTCCACTTTTGTTTTTCTTTCTAAAATAAATAAAGTCGATACAAACATTTTGCTAGGTTTCGATAATAGAACGGTGGTAGGTCTTTAGATCGATACGGGACAAATTGGATCTTAAAGATTTCGATGCGTACAGCAAGACCCGAATAGTTCCCTCGGAACTATCGGATCCTGCGTTTTTAAGCCGAAAAACGTATTATTTTCGAGATAACGCCAGGCATAGGGTTCGCATCCACACAACCTTACATTAATTGTAGTACTGTCATTGAATACATGTCTCATTTCGTCGACTTGAGGTCTCTATGATCGAGAGAGGGGAGTTTGTATTATTCATCGATGGTGTTTTTGATCGGCAAGCCATATCATCGTTAATTTTTCACCTCATCTCAAGATTGAGCCATCAATTTCGAAGGCTTCCTTCTCCTTCAGGCTGGCAGGCTGGTTATGCCCATAATTATATAAAAGATTACTAAATTCCCTACAAAAGGAAAAAAAAAATCATCGCAATCGGTCAATTTTTAGCAAATATACATACAGCTTACTGAAATTTGTATACATGTTGGTTCCAAACAAAAATGAAGATTTAAATTAGTTTTTGTTTGCTTTGTGGATTATATTTATCGATAAAGTAACATTTGATGTCTTAATCTTTTGATAAGTTGCATTTTCTTATTAATTTGGCATTTGATAACAATATGCTGTGCGAATTTTTCGCACGGGCCTACTAGTAAACTGTTAAAATGATATGTATTATTGAAGAAAATTTAATTAATAAAAACTTTTTTCTGCGAAACTTAATCGTAAAACGAAGCAATCAAGTATTATATATTTAAATACAGTTACAAAACATGAGGTAAACATTTTTTTTTTCCACATTAATGATAGCTGAGGATGGATATCTCGAAAACTAAGCGAGGTAGCGAAAAAAACATATATAATCAATCATATTGAAAATTTCATCAGCTATAATTTTGTACGGATAGTCTTTGTCGATGCGATGGATAATTTTGCTGATATAAGTGAAAACTCTAAAAAAGTGATCTAATAAGCGTTCCCTCCCCCCACATCTGGCCCACCATTTAGGAGTGGCGACTTTTATTATCTTTAGCTCCTTACTAGTCTTACAAGTCAAAAATGTCTGCAGCTATGGAGACAGGTTAATATTTTCATATTGGAATAAAAGAGGAAATCTTCCTAAATCTGGTTAACTGTACCCGAAGAAAATGAAACCTGTTGCTATGATGGCTTTTACATACCAGTAACGGTATAAAAAAGTGAGTTTAAAAATAAGAGTTGTTAGTTAGTGTTGTTATAAAATAAGATGAATAGATAGAGGGTTCCGTAAATTTGACTGTTTCCACGGTTTTGCGTTACTCCAATTTGAGGGTTTTGCGTTACTCTTGATTATATTATAAATGGAATTCCCGGAAGAGGTAAGTATCCACAGTGTTTCGGGGTATAACATCCCTATATTTAGATTGCGAATTAAGTCTTCCCCAGACTCCGAACATTTCCATTTTAGTTTTAAATCCCGAACTTACTTGAGCTTGAATTACATCTCTGCTTTCGAATTCTTCTCGCTACGCTCGCTCAAAAAAGCGAAACAAATCCCTCTCGGTTAAGGTCGGACCTTACTAGATAGTTCGGTTATCTCAGTTTACACTCGTCCGTTCTCGGAATTCCATTTATAGTTTTATGGTGAGATCTTTTGCCATGCCCAGCCGAATAATAACAATATTGTTCACTGTCTATTTTCAGATAAGTACGTGTTTCATCAGTTCACTTCATTGTAAATATACTTAACAACTAACGATCTCATAAACATTCTTTCATTAGTCATTCTGTTGTCTGAACATTAATGCGTTTGTTTGCTTTGTGAAATATTATTCTGCGCCGAAACTATTCGCATTTCTATTAAATTCATCTAAACCTTTGTCCTTAGTTAATGGAATTTTTTTGCAGTTGCGTAAACATTTAAATAAGGTGAGGATAATTTTTTTTTCGTGTGTGCGTTTCGCATTTGTGTTTTTGTGTGAATGAAATAATATATTATTCTAGGATGATAAGTTGTAGTAAACAGTTTTAGTCCATGGTACAGACTCCTTTTTATCAAATTCTTATCATTTGCCTAAAAGATCGTGAATATATTTATCTTATTTTATTCTACAACTGTTTTATTTACGAAAATTCTCAGAATTGGGGCGTTTTAAATTTGGAGATCGGCAATCTTCGTCAATTTAATGAGGTAATAAAAACTCATTAACACCCATTTGCTTTTAAATTGAATCGTAAGATAATAACATGATCACTCGAGAAAAACTTGTGAATACTTTACGTGACGTCAGGCATTTCGCTTTATGCGATTTGCCTTATAATTTTATGCCTTTATGCGTAATTGTTGATTGCTGAAACATATTAGCAGAAATCATTTTCTCCGCTGGCCAGTGACACGGTTGTGAGAGTAGCGCAGGGTTCTCCTGGAGATCCCTCGCCTGATTGTATATAGGTATGCATGTTTTTTTTTTTTTGCTTAATTTTAATTTTCTTATTTTTTAGGTTATTTTATTTTATTATCTATTGTATATACTTTTGATTATTATTTTGTTCTATTTATTTTATTTTTTTGTACATATAGTGTGAATGTCATCCTACCTCACTATAACCAATGTCCAAGAGACAGATTGTTATAATACTCAATAAAAAAAAAAAAGTTTTTATTTCTCTCTATCCACTTCATTAGAGTAAGAGAATGTTCCAATTCAGGGCCGAAGATATCTGCTCTCATTATGTATTATGTATGTATGTATGATAAATCGTGTACATATGTTGCAGAATTGATTAAATGTAATTTAAAAAACTCATTGTGTTAATTTCTTATTTTCTTATTGTTTCATCATGCTGAGTCACATGTTCATGTTGTTATTCTGAGTCGATTTTTTCAGTCGTCATTGCATGTTCCCTTAACAGTTGACTTTAGTTGATTAAACACGGCAGTGAGATAACATGATAGTACGTGTTTTTAATATTTAATATTATTTGCTTACAAGTTTAGAAATAAATATATTTTCGGTCAGTTATTTCATTAAACGCCCATTGACCAAAATCCCGGTTCATCGACATATCGGCCCAGGAGCGGTGACGCAAGGCTTGCAATTCCGACAACCTGCCGCCACGTAGCGCTGACTCATTCCTTCGTGATTGCCTTCTCGGAATAGAATATGAGTTAGTCGGGAGGGAATGTTTATCTCCCCGTTTCCTCAACAAGTTGCCTCAGTCGTGTTCGGAACCTCGTTCCGTCAACATCACTGTTTTTTTGGTTCATATTTACATTTTTTGTAATTATTTGTCTCAGTTATAAGAGACGTATTACTTCGTTCTTGAACATGAAAATCAATGCCTGGAAACGTAGCGAGTGTTCTAAAATGAGGGACGAATTTAAGTTTGTCTCAAGTTTCAACGAATGGCAAGAAGCTAGAATATTCCCACAATACATTGATGAGTCTTGTGCCATTAAAGATGATTACGAGGAGACCATACCCCCCAACCTCTGTACCGCAACTGAGCGCAACTTGGTGTCTCATGGACAGTTCCAGCAACCGCCACCAGATAGCAACTTGAATTCCGGTGCCTGGATGACCAAGTGGCGTAATAGGACTGTAGTGAAGTTCTCGCGAGGTTCAGGAAAACAGCGCGAGGATTACGTTTGTGGTAACATGGGCGGCGTGCGTAAGGTGGAGTCGTCCAAGTGTGGAAGGAGACAGAAGTGCGCGCATGGGATCGAGTCTTTGCTGATAGCTTTAGAGTACATCGAGATGCAGGAGAGGCTGCAGCAGAAACTGTTCGAAAACAGGTGAGCAGTGCTTATTCCTGAAGTCTGTTACTTGTTTTCGCTTTTCATGTACCATTGTTCTCTGATCAATGAAAAAAAAAAAAATCTGAAAGAATAATAGTAACGACAAGCTTTTGAAACTGAAACTTGAGATATCTCAGTTATCCATTTTCTCCGCGTATGACATTAATCAATTGTTGATATTTACAATTTTCTCCAACCATTACCTATTGTGACGAAGTAATAATAGGAGTACATTCCCCCATTTAACAATTAGTGATTATTCCAACTCTGTGCGGATTCAGGAATAATTTTTGGAGGTTTTTTTTTTTTTGGTTTATTGAATACTGGAACAATAATGCTCTTAGGAATATTTTTTTTTGACACGAGCTTACATTTAAAAGCTGGAGCACCGCATGTGTTTTAATTTAAAAAGAGGAAATGGACTTTAAAAAAAAATTTTCTATATGGGAATAAAAAAGATTTAAACCTGAAGTATAGGATTGAGCGTATGCTGATGGCATTGGTGTATGTCAGCCTTCAACCCGAAAACCCAACCTTAAATCCTCTTCGTACCTTCAATTTTTAAATCTGGGCATAGGTCCGTTTCGTTCGAAGATAATGAATTAACACTCTATATTTAAAATAGGTTGAAAACACATCGTGTAATCTGCCTTTTTTGCTCTAATTAGTACATCAACGTAAATAAGGGTGTTCAAACCCTTCCAATACAAACGTTTATGGGATGATGCAACGTGGTGTTAATCATCTTTATAATTCATGTTGACTGTTCCTTGTTGACTTCTGCTGATAAAACACGGATGTTACTAATGTTTGTTTTATGTTTTAAGTGTTCATAACACATTTATATTTCAGATAGCAACTTGTGTGTCATATCTATTCCGTCTTTGGTAAAAGTAGAAATTTTATATCCATTTCCTGACCTTGAAGTTGATGACCGCTCCTAACAACTTCTTGATTCATCATGACTCAATAGGTTAAATGCCATATACGTCATTGCTGGAATAGTCATCGCTTTAATAGTATATTGCTACTAATCTGTAATAAAATTATATGTTATAATAATCTTCTTACTCATGTTTATGAAATAAAGAATCCACATGGTCGTTGCGGTTCCAGGAAAGAAAGATCTTTTCCTGGAAAACGATTTTAAAATGCCTGGAACTTCCTCCTACGCTCGTACGGGAACTTACTCCATCTTACACCACCTTGTGTCATAATTTTTATTTATTTTTTAAATTTATTATTAATTTATGTTGTTAATTATTTATATTAACATTATCTTTATTTTTGTTTCAGGTGAGTTATTGCTTGTTATCCCAGGGCCCAGCCCAGTGTCGCAAGTTCCTTTAGTCCTTGAATCTTCAAGGATGAAGTGACTGTTGGTTGGTTAGATGGTGAGGTAAATTGTGATAAACTCCAAGGTTCTTATTCATCTGCTAACTACATTGTAGTATTGGTATTGCTAAACATTTATTGGGTAAATGTTACGATTTTGGTAGTACCAATGAACCTATGATCACTCTAAAAAAAAATTGTTAAAATTACGATGAAATAACGAAGTTTTTTTTCCAAAGATGTATTCATATTTTTATAAAATTAAAAATAATTCTAAATTGGATTTCGGATTTATTTTAAATAAATAAGGAATTTATTATTACGTGTGTGATAAACATGTATATACTTTTATTTGTGCCGTATTTAAGAAGGACTTACCAATGTTTTTTTAAATTAACAATTTTTGCTAAAATAGATTTCCAACCTTTGGGGTTTAGCTTTTGATGGGTTCACAAGGCCACTAAATTAATATTAATATAGATTTAATATTTATACCGTTAAAACATTTTTTATTGTTCAATATATTTTATTTTGATAAGAGTTTGTTCAATTTGGAATTTCTCTAAGATTTAGGACGAAAATATTAAGTATCACTCAACTTTAAAAATTCCATGACCACGCTAAGTACAGGATTCCAGGATTATATGATTGACTACCTTTTCGCAGTTCACATTTAATTCCAGAAAATAAAAATCTCTATGCTGGATCGAAAAGACCCCCCCCCCAACAACAAACAAACCCCCAACAGCGGTCCCTTTACAGTTGAGGTCAGTCATTATTAGAAGATTTGATCACTTCTGACTACTCTTGGGCAAACTCCCGCATTCGATCACAGGAATTAGTGGGGCATTTGTATGATAGTACCAAAAATTTCAAATGAAAGCATGGTCATTTCTGCTCTAAACACATTTTACACTCTGACTACGTATTTGAAATTATTGCTTAGTATGACCAATACTAATTACAATATTTTATTTAAGTTTGATAATCATTTGACAATTTTCAAAACCTTGTTTACTAGCTCAAACGCGCTACAAAGTATTACGACCGTGACAATTATTTGGGTAATTAATTTTTAATCTTTACTGCATCAATTGATAAAATACTGCTCCCTAATGTAATACCTCAAAATGGTTTTAAAAAATCTGTACCACTACAAATCATGAAGGGTCTTGGGTTCAGTACAATTCAGGAAAAGTACTGTTTCAAGACCAATGGTTGTGCAGGGAGGGGATCAGGCCAGGATCATGCTCATCCCTCCCCCCTCCCACCAGGTTTTCCCCCTTAATTAATTATATAATTAAAGGTACCCACTTTGTAGATGCAGGGTTTGTCCCAAGAGGGTCTCCCAACTCCAGGGTCTCCCCACGGCTAATGTAACAGAATAAATAAATATTCTGCCATGAGGCGGGATTCGAACCTGGGTCCTTGGGCATTGGAAATTTTGTGTCGCGCCCTACCTCTGAGCTACCCCGCTCCCCACCTAAAAATGATATATTTAAACATAATACAAAGATTTATTTTTTAACAAAAATGTCTGTTCTCTTACCTTAATACCTAATCTCTCACCTCTTACCTCTTAATACTTAATCTAAAAAATATAGGGTATTATGTTCATACTAAAAACTGTTTAATTTAAATATTGAGTTTTTAATTATTTTTATTATATTCCACTTCAATCAATCGGATGTTTTATTTTGTGTTGAATTTTTCTTGAATGATTCTTGGATTGTTTATGAGGTCTGTACTGTACAGTCTACTTAACATTTACAAGCTTTCAAATTAATTTTAAAAATATATAGTTTTTTTCATTGCTTATAAGTTAGCAGTTGAAAATAAGCGAAATCTTTATTAAATATTGTTTTAAGAATCAGGCAAACGTATAATCTATAGAAATACACTGTTAATTCTATGATTGCAGTGATTGTATTGGTTAATCGAAAAATTGTCCCCTCCTGAGTTATAAGCATTGTAATCGCCTTAGCTTGATAGCAAGTCACTTTTGTTTTGTTTTTTATAACTTGGAAAGATTTTAAGCCCTTATTTGCAAAATATATGGAGAAGGTTTCTTGAAAATTAATCATATATACATAACTTTAGGAGGACCATTTTTCTACTTAACAACTTACTCCTTGTGAATTTAACAGAAATACTTAAATAAATACTTTTAACCAATATGTACATATCTAATATCATATTACTTTTAATAATTATATAAATGATTGATTATATAATATAATCAATTATTTTATTAAATACTAAGGTATGAATCAGCTGAAATACCACACAAAATTATGTTTTCAAAGACAAGGTTATATTACTACAGCGCATATAACAATAAACGTCCTTGTGAATTATTTCTTTTTTATTGTGGACCTTGAATTTTAATTTTGTAATAATAAGTATTAAATTTTGTCTGTAAAAACAAGTTAAACAGGAAATTCCATTGTTTTTATTACTAAACGATTTTTAGCGAAAAGTCGACTTGACTAAGATCCAGTTAACCGATAATCGAAATTTTATTCTTTTTAATTATTAATCTTTCATTATCTAATTTGATCTTACAATTAAATATCATAATGTTAGTTGTTACTTTGGTTTAAATTTAAATTTTCTCTTAGCACTGAGATACCTCCTAAGTCAACGGAATGAAGTTGGCACTAACCTAAGCACCTCTGACTACTCTGGAAATGAAGTCTGAATCTTCACTCTCCAGAGATGTTCAGTCCATCTAGGATTCACTAATCATCGACTCAAGACATGTTATAATCAATGTTGGGACGTTTTGTAAAATAAGTCGATTATCACTCTTAAAATGTTAAGGAAGAGAATTGTTTGTCATTAACGTTGTGGTTTTATTACATAGTAATGGCATGTTGTAAAATATAAATATAAAAATAATAATACACAAATTGTAAAATATTAAATAAAAATAATAAAATAATAGATATTTCTTTCTCTGACCTCACATTTTTTTCCTTATTTCTTGCAGTCTGGGATACATTATTAGAAAATTTGTTTTAACCTCTTAGTATTTCTATTGTATAAGAACTAAACAAAATGAGAGAATTTAAAGCCAATGAGTCTGAGTTATAAAATGTTAATGCGTTATATGCATTTTAAGAATTTTTTATTTTATTTTTTTTACTCTGCATATTACTATTTTTTTGTACTTCAACATTTAATTTAGAAATTTCCAAGATTTTTTTTTATACCATCTTACTTTAACACAGGGCTTTTCCCATTTTTAGAAACATTACTTGTATACTTCTTTTGTATTGAAAATGATGATATTACCCACCAAATTTAACATTAATATTTATTAAGCTTGTATGTATTCATTCATGCAATATATACAACAGGATAAAAAATGAAAAAAGAAATTTATAAAGAAAAATGTATTAATAGCATATATTAAACATATAAATGATATATAATCATAACAAGTAAGAATACTTTTTATTATTCTTTAATTGAATAATATTACATTCTGTCACAAGATTATTGACAAAAGTGAGCTAAGTTCATTCAAAACATGTATAGACAGTATATAAATAAATCAAGTAAAATATAAAACGTACCAGTACCTAAGTAATAATGTACTTAAAAAATAATAATATTAAAATGATAAATAATAATATAAAATTCAAACAACTTTAATAATAAATAAAATAAAATCTTAACCTCAGGCATACCTATTAGGAATAAATAATAATAAAATAATATCAAATTAAGTAAGTGCTTACATAACAAAAAAAATTAAATTAAATTTAAGTAAAAATAAAATATCTGAACACACTTTCATAATGTACATTTACATTTATAGTAGTAAAATCTCAGACCAAGGAAAATCAAGATTAGCAGATCCTAGTGCTTCTTTCATTAATTTTATATAAATGCGGAAAATATAAGGAATTATTTGTGCAGGTATTAGATAAACATTAGGACTAACTTTTGTTTAGGTGATTTTGTTTTTACAGTTCAAGCGAAAATCTGGTGTTATATTCCTTCAATTTTTTTTTAATTAAAAAAAGAGAATTTTTACACTTCAAAATTGATATCATCCCTTATAATTTGCTTTTGTAGCTCATTTCTTATTCCATAGTTAAAGATTTTTATTGTCTAAATTTAAACAGTTCAGTTTATAATCCAAGAATTCAGATCCTATGGAATATTATTCTATTAAACCTCTGTATAATAATAGCGACCTACTTTCTTGCTTTTTCCAGTAGCCATTTTGAATTTTAAATTCCATCTTCGTCCGCCCTTGAAAATTCTACCTTCGTGGTATTTCTACTTTGAATATAGTACCTATTGATTTTTGAGAAAATTTGTGAGTTAAAATTATGAAAGTTAATTAATTATTTCTTATATCTTCACGGTGTGTTGATTTTGTTTAATTTTTATATTTCTGACCTCCATGATATTTGAATGTTAATCGTGGAAAAATGAATAATTCTCATAGAATTATGAATAATTCGTTCTTAATTATCCTGATATATATGTTGGCACTTATCATTCGAATTCTATTTAATTTACGCAGATATATTATTTATAAATATAAGAAATATACTTGCTACGTTTTATTAACCAACCAAGGAAGGGATTATTGTTTTTTCCTGGACACAACGTTGGCTTTCTCGAAAAAATCATTTGTACGAACTTTCTAAATATATTAATTAATTATCTATTGCAAACATCATAAGTTATATTGTTTTAGTAGAAAAATAAATGGGTCTGTATAAAGTATCGATACAAGATCAATTGAATTAATATTGAGTTTTTTAAACGAAAAAAATCTAATATTTGTCTTCTACATATGAAAATAAGTATACCATTCTTAGACTAATAGTCGTAGACTTCAGGGAGGGCGATTTGGGGGAGAGGATCGTTCCCTCCCCCAATAAAAATCTTAAGGAAGCGAGAATATCGTTTTGCTCTCTCAATAATTCGAGATAAAAAAATTAGATTTATTATAAATAAGCTATATTAATAAATGAAATTTGTAAACGAAAATCGATTTAGAAAAGTCGACTAGATGATCCTAGTCACTAGCGGATTCACCTAAATGTTATTTTTATTTAAATTGTCATTTATATTAAAAGATAATAATTTATATCAAGATATATTATAGTATTTTATGATTCAGTCAATGTCCACATAATAATCTTATCACATTTTCTGCGACATACTGGTCGGACTATGAAAAACTTATTTGAGGTTGTACACACTAAGACATAAAATATGTTTTTCACTCTTTTACATTATTTATTTTTAATTAAAGTTGAAATTAAAGAAATGTACCAATGTTTTGAAGGATTGTCGTCTCCCCTCTTCCCTGTGTTTAAGCTAAACAAATACGTTACATATTTAACTGTATTTTTTTTTTAAATATATTTTCAAAGTATATATAAAAAATTTAAAAAAATTACAATTCTTACAACTATAAACAAATTAATTTTAATATTCAATATTATATTTGTTCGTTTCACAATAATTACATTGAATTTTTATTATGTGTATTACTCCAACTCCCTCCCCCTCCCTATCGCACCCCTAATCAAAATAGAAAGTGTCCATCTATGTCAAGACTTAAATTTAGTTTAGACTATTAAGTTAATTTATTAAGTAAATATGAATTATATACTATCATGAAATCAATCTATATAAAAAAGAAATGTAAGATTGTTGTTATTCAAGCTTACGTTTCGGTCAACTAAAAACCTCTATCAGAAGAATGGCAACTGCAAATCTAGTTTTCTACTTATTACCTTATTCTATTCATCCCAAATTAAGTAGGAAAACATTTTATAATATTATTTAATCACAGTATTACCTTTGTTTAAGCTTGACTGTTTTAAATATCGGAAAGTTTGAATTTTTCCCCGGATTTTACTCACTACTTCGCAATGACCTTCAAGCGTGGTGAGAAAGGTTTTTAAAAAAATCCGGATGGTTAGAACTTGATAATTACATAATGCCCATTTAATGTTGCAACTTTGAACTGGGGATTTCTGTTTCGGAATTTCCTAAGAAACATTTAAATAAAATAAAAACATAATATCTACAATTGTTTAAGATTATTTGAAAAAAAAAAATGATTTGATGGTTTCTGATTTCTATTAATTGATGAATACACAAATATTTCATAGCATGATGAAGTTGCTAAAGAAGTTTCTAAATTTGTGGTGATTACGGTTCAATCGTTTCTCCTTCGTAAAACCTCCAACGCTAAGTTTTCAAGCGTTTTTGGTTGAATCAGCCTATGTAGCTGTATTTCTTTGTAATGTACTCTCAACAGTTTAGATTTGTGAAATTGTATATTTCTTGAAGTTATTTTATATACATTTTACTGTACTACTTACAACATTTTCTGTTTATCTATCTTTAGTTTAATTCTAATTTAGACATGGGAGACCTTCCAGAGATGTGCCCTACCTTTGCAACATGGCTACCTGTAATTTATTGGATTAATGATAAACGGTTGAGCGATTCATCTCTTTCGTTAACAGTTGATGTAGAAATAATACTTCCTTGCTAATTACCAAATCCAATACCTTTAAAGGAATGTTGCTATGTTTTAATATTTTTTAAAATTTTAGATAATATTTATTTACTCAAGTAGGGCTATGCCTCTGTAATTCTCATACTCCAGTCTATCTCTCCTTTTATGGATGGGGCATAAAAGAGCTGTAGTCCAATTTATAGGCATCTTTTCATTCACCCACACATCGAAAATTATTTCGTATAGTTCGTCGAGAACTGTCCTTTCACCATACTTCAGCAGTTCCACCGGTATACAATAGACTCCCTGGAGCTTAATAATTCTTATGCTGTGTAGTTCTTCTCAAACGTCCTCCTTCCTAGGTGGTGTTTCCACGTCGTTTTCATCTTCATTTTCTAGGATCCGATCCAAGTCGGGGTTCTGCTGTATTATGTCCTCGTTAAGTTCTTCTTCCTTGTTCAGTAGTCTTGTCCACTTATTGATAACATCCCCTCTGCCAGGCAGAATATCGCCTTTCTCGTCTTTCATGAAAACATGTCGTGGATTGTTTCCATCCCTGATATGTTAAATATTATACAGGAATTACGGGGTATTGAATTTTTGCGTGTGATCCACATATTGATGGGGTTATGCATTTTCGGAGGAAACTATTTTCCTGTGTATTTTCTATTTGGAGAAACTATCAAATCATGGTTGCACATCATGATAATTATATAATATATAATTTTTCTAATTCTTCTTTCGCTTGCACTGTTTTTAAAAAGGGAAGAGAAAATTGATAATGATGTAGAGATGATTGACCGTTGATATGATATGAGAAGGAGTTAGTTGAGGGTGCGGTCAAATAAATAAAAAAATTAAAAAATATAAATAATTTTAATTTTTGCCGACGTTTCGACCCACTTTGCAGGTCGTCTTCAGGGCTACAAAAGATACAAACATGTTGAAAAAATAAAAATAAAATAAAAAATAAATATAAGTATATATAAATTACGAAGAAGTTGTCAGATATAGAAATAAAAGATAAAGAAAATAAATACATGATAAGAAAATAGATAAAAGAAAATAAATACATGAATGTTAACGAATAAATGAATGTTAACGAATAAATAGATTGAAAATTGAATAACTATTGTTACAGTAAAGTTAAAATATGGATAAGATAACATAATACTAAGATATCAGTGGATAACAAGCAAGTGGAGGTTACCTTTAATTGTAAATAAAAGAAAAATGGAAGAGAAAATTATTTGGAAGGGGACACCACTGAATATGTTGAATTATATAAAAACATATTGATCATATTTTAAAAGAAAGGCTTAAGAACCATGGATACATAATATTAACGTAAACGAAATTGACTTTGTGAAAATGCTGTTGTAGGCAACATTTAATTTAATTCTCTCCCATCTCACGTTACATTTATATAAAATCCATTTTTGAATTTATTGATTTTTTTTTCTTTTTAAAATCTGGCTAAGATGAAGGAATTGTCGCTAGTAAAAATCTAATTTTATTTACTTTCGCAGCTCTAATTAACGCGTTTCTGTCTTGACACCGTTGACCTCTAAACAAAGAAACCATTAGTCAACAGTTTAAGAGAAACTCGTTTAACACGAGCTATTATTTTTTATTCCCACCTGTTTCGTGCTAACGAGGGACTACTGTAACCACGAGCGGATCCAGAATTTAATTTTGGAGGGGGCTTCAGCCCGAAAGATTTTCTTTTCATATACATATAACGATAATTAATTTGAAAAAAAATAAACAAATTAACTACTTATATGAATGAAATGGTGTTTAAGTGATTCTTGAAGTCCTATTAAATATAATTACACGAAGAAGAACACTTTAAGAGATAGTTTTTAATATTTTTTTCTGTAAAACATGGTTATATTTTACTATCTTGGGGGGAGGGGGCTTCAACCCGAAAGCTCCCCTTCCCCCGTAGATCCGCCTGTGACTGTAAGTATAGATTTTCAGTTTTTTTTTTCTGACTGCATTTAATTTTTTAGCATTATATTTAAGTTGAATTAAAAAAAAAAAAAAAAAAAAAAAAAAAAGAACTGACCCAGACAACTTTCACACCTCTTGGGCTACTGATCTACAATAAATCCTAATCCACCTATTTGTATATACCGCATTTTGGAAACCTGCGGCATCGATGCCGCATGTGGCCTTTGGGAGATACCTAAGGCCTCTAACTGTGTATATATATATATATATATATATATATATATTAGCTAAGAAGAGGAGTTATAATTCTGTGGATGGAATGCTCGCACTGAGGCCGCGAGTCCTTCATGAGAGACGTCCCTGACCCAAAATCTAGAGTCGTTGCACTCCGAGTGGCGGACTACTTTCCACCCTACTCTTAGTCCTTGTGTTGTCTTGGCTCCGTCAGTTGTGCCTCTCTTCTTGCTAACACTACTTCTGCAAATATTCCGGGTCCGCAACATCAGGATGGTCGGAATCGCTGAGCTTGATAGAGGATATTTTGGGAGCTGGGGACATTTCAGAGGGTAAATGTAGTTATAGAGATACATTATGGTTTGGGTATTGCTAATCCTTTTTGTTGTGCGTTATTTTTATTAGTTTTGTTTGTAGTATTAATGTTGTTGATTTTCAAAATACTAACCTTAATGTTAATATTCGATTAACTCTTAAAATACGTAGGTTTTGTAGTTTACTTTATTTTATTATTTTGCATACATATTGTACATATTTTTGTGCCGGATAATTTTATTAACCTCTTAAAAATATTTTCATTGTTATTACATCTCTCATTATTAACTTGCGATATTGGCATTGAGTGGTCCGAGCTCATTAGGACGTTGGAAAAACATCAGTTTATTGAAATACTTATGTTTAAAAAAATATTTATCCTATATCTTTCCTATATTTCCTTCTTCCATCCAAAAAAAAAATCAAACTAACATTAATGAACAAAGAAAATTAAAAACGTCTACTAAGGAAAGCCGCCTCAGTGATGATCACTTCAGATTACTTTTATTCACAATACCTAAGAAGTAGTAGTTGTCCCTTGGTCGATTACGATACCCCACTTAACGTAATAGACAAAATAGAAAATATTTAATCTAAACTAGTTGGCCCTTGCGAAAAATTCGCAGAAGAGTTTTTGTTTTGTGAAGAAATAGTAAAACAATATGGCAATAAGTAGTTCCTATGTATTATGTAAGGAAGAGATTAATACTTTTTCCTTGGTCGATTACAATATTCCATTAAACATAATAGACCAAAATATTTATACAAATTGCTTTGCTAGAACCTATTTTTAAACGCTGACTGGAAAGATAATAAAAATAATAAAGACATTATAATACCCCAATGATAGGATATTCTAAATTATTAAAAAAAATAAAATGTAAGAGCAACCAAATGTCTTTAAGAAATAATAAAATTAATATAAAAGCAAGGAAAAAAATGTAGTAGATTATTCTATTCCTAAATGCAATATCTTTAAACAGGAATACATTATTAAGTATACCTAAACTAATGGACTGTATCTTTGTTAATAATTGTCCGAATTTTACAATTTGGTTTTTGTTGTGAATATGTGGAAGAATATTGAAGTTATAACACTTATTGTAATTTTCGAAAAAATATCAAAGGTCAAATAAGTAGAAAAAAAATTTTATTTTTCGATCGCATTGAAAACTCGTATTCGAGGGTCTTTCGAGCTGCGAAATACAAATCTCAACTCTCTTCCTCCCTAAAAAAATATTTCAACACACTTTACTCCTTCCGTAAATACAAATTGTTTAAATTTTACATATTTCTAATCGATTTTTACAATTTTTTTTTGTTTTGTGTTGTAGGTAATTCAGTAATCTTTCTAATTATCATGGGTATAATCCAGAAAAAAATGCACAGTTTTTGAGTTATTCGCAAATTAAGTTTCTTTTCCTCCTTAACTTTTTTCCAGAAATTTCGGTGGGATGGGACTTTTTCGCACGTGAAGGAGAATAATATCTTCAAAATGAGTGGTTAATCATTGGATTCGATGAAGAATTGACGAAGTTATGGCCTACCGTCAAAAAAACACCTTTTAGAAATAATATATATATAGGATTATTAAAAACTATATAATGTACAAACAAAAAATGGCTTTCAGAAAAAATAAAGTATATATCAGCAAGAAAAAAAGGGAAATAGTATTGTTCCCCTTATAGTCTGCGTCTATGGATTTGGTCTTTATAACCTTGTTATTTTGACAATTCAAGGGTTTTGATCACGCCAAACGGCTCAATATTTTTCCAAGGCTTTTTCTCAACTTTGTGCTCAAGTTGTCTTACGATTTAAGTAGAAGGCAAATGGTTATTTACGAGATTTTAGTACCTAATCAAATAGACAAAGTTTGCCGGCCTCCAAATTGAAAACGCCACAATTTTCGCAAATATAATATTTGTAGGTTAAGATGAGATGAAGTTATTTACGAAGTTTCATCCGGCTGTGGATAATAATTAATATAAAGTTGTAACTATCACAGCTTAACCCTAGAACGACACACTTAAAAAAGTCAACTCATTCTGATACTCTGGGATGAGGTACACACCAAACTTTAAATTATCATAAAATTTAATTGTCATGCTCTGGAAGACTCAAACACTTTTCAGAAATAAGCTAAACAATCAGGGAAACAAATAAATTCAAGGGAACCTAATAGAATATATTTTATACACTAACATTAAGTAAAAATTTAAAATTTGCATCGCTAAAAATTCAAAAAAGTATCAATATTTTTCTATTGAAAATACATTAACTTTATATCAATTAAATATATATATTTGGAATGTAAAATATATAATTAAATATTCATAATGAAGGAAAAAAATATAATAAAACTTAAAGTCAAGGCCATTTATGTGACCACTCACTCACAACAATACAAGCAAACTGTTGCCCTGTGTTCATTGCAGATGGGTCTCTTACATTTCTGACAAACCATTTTTATTTATCTTCGTATCTCTCTAGTACAAAAGAAATATTTGGCTTGTTTTTCCAGTCGTTTATTTTTTAATTCCCAAAATTTCTTTTATGTTCTAACACGCTGTTCGTGAATGTCTCTACTTGCAGTCTGCTTTTCAAACAGGACTGAAGTAACGAATACCCTAATGCAAATAATTAATTTCTCCATTTCATCTTTTTTTCCCAGTTAACTAAGCTGAACAATATCATGATGTTTAAACAAGCATGATTCAACATTCCAAAGAAAAATCGGAGGGACAATCTCATTGTTTTTCTTGCTGTTAACACACATGATACATTTGATCTAAAGTCATTGTGCCATCTTTATTTAATATGCTCCATGCATCTTTTTTTTCATCTTCTAACTCCCATAACAATTTATGGATTTCTTTAGAAGAAGAATATATTTTTTGGTTGTTGCCATAATAAAAAAATAATTTACATACAATACTGTCTGAATTGAAAAAAAACATTAATTAGTAAATATAACATTAGAAATTCACTCCTGAATTATTCGAAGTTTTAAAATAACAAAGAAAACACTGGGTTGTAATGAATCATAATGACTTTCGATAACGCCCAATAATGATATATGTCCAACAATGGAGTGCAAACGACTGTAATTAGTCTAGCTACGTTTGATGTTTATTTACATGAAAAAAACTTGGCCAAAGAGTTACTTATATAAAAGTAAATTAATATTGATAATGTTGTGTGGTGTGTTACACCTCAGTGTGACGTTCTAGGGTTAAGACCTATGTCCCAGATGTCACCACGCTTAGTATATCTTGAAGTATATTTATAAATAATATACAATAGAAATTAAATATATAGTATATATAAAATATATTGACAAAACCAGAAATATACTGCTCTCAAAGGTGGAAATGAGAATCTTGTCAGTGGCAATAGATTTTATGTATATCTATTTTTTTTTTCATTTTTAGTTATTCAAATTGCGCATTGTATAAATCTATACGCATTCAAATTTTGATTTCGATTACATTTGCTCAATTTTTAACCAAACACAATTTAAAATCTATCCTGATTTTAACTTTTCGTCTCGTGTTATGACAGCAATATCACTTTTACACCACCACCTTCATAACAATGTATTTATTAAAGCCTTTCGTGGAAATCTACTTGTCCACGTTTCCCAGAACCCCACCCTCACTTCCTCCAGTGTTCTGGAATAAACTGGAATGAAGCACTGAATAATTCCGCAGTTGTCATCGAAGGAATCGATTTCCAGTTAATATAAATTAGTCAGTATGCCTGGTTTATGACCTATTTTTACCTATAGATAAAGAATATATTTTGAAAAGAGGTAGTTATTAGGTGATGTTAATGCATTATTAACAGGAAACAAAGCATTATTAACTTTGCCGACGTTTTGGCATTCATCAAAGCTAAGTAACCCTTATTTGATTTGGCAGGAATGTGCACAAATAAACCTCGAAAAAATCCACTAAGGTATATAAGTGAATGTAGAGATACAAATGAAAATAATAATTATTTCTATGTATAAATTACAAAACTTGAAATGGTGATTGGCAAAATAAAATAATATATATATTATGAAAAATAGAGTGATATTTAGGAATATAATAGTTTATAATATTCGGATTTTTTTTTGTGTCTTTATGCATGGCATGGACATATATTAGCCAATATACCTATAACATTAGGACTTATTATTATTATATTATTTTTTTTTTTGTATCGGTGCATTCAATTGAACACATAATTAGAATCGGTTTGGGTTTTATAATTCTATTACTCAATTATCGTTTGTTATTCTCGCGGTACCTCTTCAATATGAACTGTAATAGTCCGTGGTACAGACCCCTTTTCATAAAATTATTAACATCTGCCTGAAATTTGATGAATACCTTCCATCTCATCGTAACCTACAACTGTTTTATTTACGAAAACTCTGAAAACTTTACGAGAATTGGGGCGTTTTCAATCTGTAGGTCGGCGAATTTAATCTATTTGGGTACTACAAACTCGTAAATACGCAACTCGTAGATCCACTTGGATCGTAAGATAATTTGATCACAGAATCGAGAAAATAGGTGATATTCAAAAATATTGGTCCTTTTAGCTTATATAACCTCGTTATTTTGAAGTGTAGGTCAGGCCAAACAGCTCAATATTTTTGAAGGCTATCTTTTTCTCGATTTCTTGACCAAACTATCATACGATCCAAGTGGAACATGATGCGTATTTACGATTTAAGTGGAAGGCAAATGGTTATTTACGAGTTTTTTAGCACGTAATTAAATAGGCAAAGTTTGCTAACTAATGCCAGATTGAAAACGCCCCAATTTCAAGAGCTTTCGTAATTAAAATAGTTGGAGGTTACGATGAGATCAAGCTATTTTTATGATGCTTCAGGTGGATGTTAATAATTTGATAAAATTGGGCCCATACCACGGACTATAAATGTTTGTAGTGTACACGTCATTTCTTTAATTTCTCTACCATTGGGGTGGTCTTTGTGCGGATGCCCCTGTCACCATCATGTTAAATAAATAATCATTAATAATGTATTATTGTAAGAGGTAATATATTTACGTATTATTGAATTAATGAATATGTTACAATAACGTTTTCCAACTTATTTCCAATTTTACCCCTCCTCTGCTTTGAAGGTAATTTTATCTATAATTTCATCATCCTTGTTCTGGAACTTTAGTGTGAACTCCGTGTGTTTTTCCTATCATTTTTCTCTCTACTCATCTTTCCCCTTATTTCCTTTTATCTTTTGATTCTATCATTATTTTATTTTTGCCTTATAAATGATAATGATGTTAGGATTATCATATAAATTTATATAATAGTTTATATAAATTCCATTTTTTTTTTTTTTTTTTAAATCAGACCGGTATGCTTCTTTGTAATGAGCTATTATTCAAAATTTTATCTTAACTCGACGCTGTATTAGAGAGAAGAAAAGGAAAAAAATATTGTTGAAAACAAAATTATGACGAGTTTTATTGATGATATGGATTAAAATATCTCAGAAACTAAAAAGTGGATCTGTATACTGCCAGCGAGGGAAATGTTTATCATTTCATCCTCTTTATAATTTATATTTCATATGATATCGCCTTGTTGAAGTTATGTTTCACAAAAGTTATAAGTAAATGAATGGAAGAATAAAATATTATATTGAATATTTGATAGTTGACCGTTGCATTATAAAGGAAGGAGATGGTCCGGGGTGACGGTAATAAATAGGCTAAATAGTTGCAAAACTATTTTATTGAAAGCCAACCTTTCGACCCGACTTTGCAACTCTTCTTCAGGGCTAGAACGCACAAGACACAAAAAGATAAAGAATTGTGGAAGTTATATAATATTATAATAAAAAAATATATATAAACTATGTGAATCAGCTTATTAAAATTATAAACAGTAAGTACATTTAAATATAAACAGAGTAAGCTAAGTAACAATATCCTAAACTGAAGTAAATAGATGGTAACAATTGTTGTAGTATATAATAATATTTAATGTATAATATATACAAATGTGAATATACTTCTACAGATCTACAGGAGAGATTGAAAGAGAAGGAAAAGGGATATGTGATATGAAATAATAGACATAAAGGAATGTGGAGAAAGGAAAAAAAAAAAGAAAAAGAAAACCAAAAAGTAAATAAATAAGTAAATAACATTAGAAGAATAAAAATAGAGACTTACAGGTGTGTTCAGCTAGGAGTTTCGCTATATATGTACACAAAAACACTAACTTTCTATTACAATAATTATTTAATTATTTTCATAGTTGTGTATACTTTCACTTTTGTGAAGATACCAATATGTTTTGCTTAGCCCTGATAAAGATTATTCAATTTACCTCGAAACGACAGCAGAAAATAAAGAAGTTAATACTTAATTTGTTTTATTTTCTTCCTTCTCTTCCTTAACCAACTTCTTAAATTACATTTTCTGAATAATTAACCTTAATACTTTAATTATACTGGTGTGATATATACCTACAATCGGGCTGGAGTACGAGGAAATACTTGATCAGTATTGACAGACAGTGTGGGTTTTCCTCTGTCTGGTGCGTACTGTTCCATGAGTCATGGATGTCGATTGTTTCCAACTTGTAAGGATTCAGCGGGAAACCATGTATATAAGAGCTACGCTTTAACTATATACCAATTTCCGTAAAATTCAACCAACATAATAGAAGTACTATTATTAAATAGTATGATATAAAATTACGAACTAAAATCTTACTATCTATTCTGTGGGTTCAAAAAGTTCGTATCCAAATATTTTAAATTTTCGAATGAGTGAATATTCTTATCTGGAAGTTTTTCGAACCTCCAAATTATCCAGTTCTTGGTTTGAAAATTTGTATATTTATTTAAATTTATCTAATCGTGACCTACAAGTATTTTATTTGTGAAAATTCTTGGGATTGGGACTTATTAAATTTGGAGGTCGGCAAACTTTGTCTATTTAATTACGTACTGAAACCTCGTAAGTGCCCATTCGCTTTTCACATTAATCTTAAGATAACTTGAGCACAAAGTCGAGAAAAAATTTGGCCTTCAAAAATATTGAACCGTTTGGCCTATATAATCTATTTATTTTGACAATTAGGGCATGTAGGTCACGCTAAGCGGCTCAATATTTTTGAAGGCCACCTTTTTTCTGGACTTTGTGCTCAAGTTATCTTACGATTAAAGTTGAAAGCAAATGTGAATTTACGTGTTTTTAGTACCTAATATTTATAGGTGATTTTATACTTATTTATTGTATATATATATTATTTTTCTGTATAATTTATTTTATTTATTGTACATAGAGCGTGAATGTAATCTGTGAACTCTATTATAAATGTCCTAGAGACAGATTGTAATATTTTTCAATAAATAAGTTTAAACAAAAAAAATAAAAGAATCGTCTTATTTTACTTTTCGCTAAAATAATCTAGAATACTACAGAGGAAAGCTCTTATAATATATAATATATAATTATTATATTTTGTCATAATTACTAAAAAGTTTCATACAAATCATTGGAAACAATTTTTAAATTTTGTTTCCCATCTCTAATCCATAAGGCTATCAGCGACGGATTGTGAGTTATTATCGTTGTTTTCGTATGTTTCAAGACCTCTTAAACCCATCGTAAGTACGATTTCGTCCCTCCTCGACATTCTAGAAATCTACTGCCCTCCAAAACACTGCATTAGTTCCTTACAACGACCCAGTAATTCTGTTTTTGAACCTCCTATTTATGGTCTACGATGGTCTTCGCTTCTCCCATGAAAATGGACTCACTTCCCATTTTGGTTCTGCTCATTTTTTACAGCGCAACCTGACATCATATATTTCAACTAGCATTTAAAAAATTATTTTGAAGTATATCTTGATATTCCTATCCATCAATATAACCATCACTGGTTTACATTTCTGTCAACGTATATTTATAGATCTGGTATTGGTCGAACAGTGCTTGTATTCATGCTCATCTTTATTAATATTTTGTAAATGGCTAGTTTGAAATAGTTACTGTATGTATTCTTGATAATACGGTTTTTAGGTTCATCGGCTAACCAATGAGAAGCTTGAAGATAATGACTTCGATTTAGAAATATATTTAATTTGTAAACGATCCTGCATCAAGTATAAAGATGTTTTTATCAATTCGGCATGTTCTCAGAACAATCCGGGCTGAAGCACTTCTTCCTCCAAAATGGAAAAATAATTTAGTTTTCATTGTCCCATATTTGTTTTTATGAGTGATCTGAGGTGAACACTTAAGCAATAAAAATATCTACTCTTTTTAAATTATAACGCATTTATTTCAACTACTAAAAACGTTTCATGAAACATATATATATATTCCTACAAGCATTATTGTTATCATTGCCACAGTTTTTTTTAAATTTAATTTTTTTTTTTTTTTTTGCCCTTTGCTATTTAAAAATTCAACATTATTTTGTATAGTTTCTTTCGTTTTCTTCTAGCGTAATAAAAACTTTAGCCCCCCCCCCCTTATCAAAATGAGTTCCTTGATCCCCTTACTGACCTTCTTCAACGTTTTGTTTACTGTTCCATAGATTAGGGCATGATTTTACTTCTTATAACGCCTTAATAAATTTTTATGACAAAAATTATTGGCACCCCAGCTACAAAGTGATAATCAGAATTTCCAACCTTTTCCTACTGAAATTTCTCAATAATTTAATATTTTTGTTGATTTTAAAACCTGTACCGCTACGACCCATGAAGGGTCTTGGGTTCAGTACTATTTATCACACTCAGCCACCAGGTTGACTCCTTTAACTAATTATTTTAATTAAGCGTGCCCACTTTATAGAGACTGGGTGAGCCACAGGAGGGTCTTCCGATCCAAGGGATCCAATAACTGTTGAAACAGAATAAATAATTTTCCTGCCATGAGCCGGGATTCGAATCCCGGACCTTGAGCATTGGAAGATCAGTACCTTACCACTGAGCTACCCCACTCGTTTATTTTAGTAAATTAATGTTACTCTTTTTTTTTCTTTTTTTTTGTGACTTGCGTCTTAATGTGGGCTTGAGCTTAATGAGAGCATTTATATAAAAGCTAACACATCAGAGAAGTATACTTTATACTCAAAATACAAATTAGAGGGAAACTTCCTTATGGTGCTGATTTTTACTGCCATGTGATAATTTTTTGTTTATTGTTATTTTCCTAGTATTTTTAATTTAAAATTCATTATCCGAAATTTGATAAATCTCTCTCGCTTAAAGGAAATTGTGGGGTTTAATAAACATTTACCTTCTTAGGTGTAGCCCCCGCCCCTAAGGGGAAGGGGGGTCGGAGCCCCTAGCATGTCCTTGAGGAGGCGCACGCGCAATAGCCCCATCGATATCCCCCCTCTTCGTCCTTCGCTATCCCTTCCCATGGTCAGTCCGTCAATGATAGTAGAGTGATTGATATCATGTCCGTCGTGAATGGGTTTGTTGACAGTGTCTTGTGAATCGGTGAAAGTGGAAATCGTACGAATACATTAGTACTGCCGTGCTTGTGACAGCTCTACCATTTCTCGTGACGTTTATGGTGATTTTATGAGCGACAGTGATTCCTATGAGACCGCATATGAATCTTCACCCGAGGCCAAATTCGAATCTAAGTGAGTAATTAAATATTTGGCAAAATATTTAATAAATATGTAACGAGTTTTCCGCATCCACTTGTTGAGTTTAAGAATTAAACGCTCGGTTTTATCGACGAGTGTTTTCAGTCCCCTCTCTTTGGTTATGTTCATTTATTATTCACTGTTCATGGAATAAATAACGTATTCAAACCAGATTTTTTACTGAACAATCAATTTTTTAAATCGTTAAAAACAACTTTTTTAGTTAAGCTATAGAAAAAAATTAATCCATTACTATAATCTCTTTAAGAGTATTCTGATTAAAATACAGCGTTGTTGATATGCAGTGCTTCATAATAACCTATGGTTGTTTCTGCTTCAGTTCAACGCTGTTACATGTGTTTTGATCCTCACACAAATGTTATCAAAAGGGATTCGAAATTGCTCGAGGGTATACACGGTTGCCTTGACAACCTTTGTCGCTCGTTATTTTTTTTTTTTTGGTTACCCCCTATTGCTATCGTATCAATCTATAATAAATTGATTGTTTATTACTTATAAAATGGAAGCATAAACCGTTTGATGTAATCATAATTTACTACTATCACCTTGATTATCGTCCTCATTTAGTTTTAATATTTCCAATTTGTTTACAACGTAATGGAATCCATCACTAGAAAGCAGTGAGACAATTTCTGTAATTAGCGAAACCTTATCAGTCGCTGATAACAGTACCACACCTAGACGACAGTGATAAAACGATTACATATTTGCCTAACCTCGATAGGAAGTTGTTCCTCAGGTCTCGTTACGTTATAGCGAACGTCACGATTTATTCCACGTCATTTAGATCCGATTTTATTCTTGTTCAAGGTCCCTTATTTGATGACTCTGTTGAACCTTAGACTCTGCGGACTTTCCTGCTCTCGATCACAAATATTGACATTCCAAACAGTAAAGAACGCAAGGCATTGGCTGAAGTTATCTCGGAACTGTTATTTTTCCACGTGGTTACCCTGGCATGGTTATCGTGTGCATTACGTAACTCTTGCAGTGAATCCCTTATCTCTCCTTTCTGCATTGCTTGGTTTGTTCGTTCTGTTCGTCTTTAACCTTTGTTCTCGGTTACGTTATTCTTTTTTTGTTTCCGGGCCTGTTGTAAATAAAGCCTTAAAGCATTAAAAAAACGTAAATCCAATTAAGGCAAACATTTCAAAAATAAATCTTTTGACAGGCAAATACATGAATAATGAACTTTAGCCCGTTATGGCAGAATTTATGAAGAAGATACTGTCAGACTAGATTAAATGTTCTGGTAAACATTGATACAGCAATGCTGGACATTAAAGTTACATATTTGACACAGTAAATATGTTTTTTCTTTGTTGAGAAGATTTATTTACTTATTTATTTTTATATGGCTACTAAATTAAAAAAAAAAAAATTAAAAAAGGCGTTCGATAGATCCTTATGAACGAAGCAGTAACTTATCACTGGCGGATCTACCGAAAAAATAATATTCTTTTTCCTGAGTCCATATTTGTTTATTCCAAGGCAAAATACTTACAAAACAATTACAATACATTGTCTTTATATATTATAATGCATTAATGCATACAATGTAAGCAGTTATCGAATAAACATATTAGAAATTTATCTCTGAAAGCATTATTGTTCCCGCCATTACCATATTTTTTTGTTTACTTCATATCCAATATGAATCATAATATACTTGGATTTTTTATGCAAGGTAATTACCACAATTAAAAAAAAAAAACCAAAAATCGAATGGTAACAATCAATATCAATCTATGTTGGCAGTCTCTTCAACTGACTCTCGTAAATATTGTTTGCCCTCTCTACAAAATACAGTGACAAACTTTTAAGTACAATGAAGTCGAGTTAATAAAAGACTTTTATCCACAGATAGTATGTTGCCTTTTCTAGATTAGATTGAGAGAAGAAGGCATGTACAATCAAAATTTGACGCTGGTGCTTAATTTCAAAAGAGGGTTCATTTATTTTATTGTGACATAGAACTTTTATTTACGAAAATCCTCATGAATGGAGTGTATTCAATCCGAAGATTGGTTTAACTTCGTAAATTTAATGAGGTGCTAAAACTCATGAATACCTACTGGAATCTTATTATTATTTGATTATAAAATCCATTAAAATAATATACTGCAAAAATATTGATTCATTTGATCTACATAACCCCGTTATTTTGACATGTTGGGGCTGGAGGTCATGCCTTTTTTCGGATCAAATTATCTAACAATTCAGCTAGATTCTATGCCGAATTTAGATAATCAACTTTAGGCGGCATCGTTCGTATATTGAATATATTTTATTTCTAAATTAAAGACGCCTCTTTCTCATTCATCCTCAAGCTTCTTATTAGTTTGCCAAAGAACCTGAAGACCTCAGTATCAAGTATACAGGGAGTATTTAGACAAGTCATCAACACAACTTATTATAACTCTATGCAAATTAATAACTATTAATTTTTTATTAACAGTATTAATAACTTAATAAAAAATCTGGTGCGCGCAACACACAACTTTCACTTACCGCGCAACTTTGAATAGAAATTATTTTCTGTCCATTTCGGGCTATTATAAAATTTTGAATTGCATTTTTAACTGAGCTAAAGCCAAAAGATAGCAGCTAACAAATCATAAATACTATTAAAATAACAAAAGTCCGTCCTATTTATTATATCACCGGTTGATTATGGATTGTACGACTATTAGTTATTAAATTGTTATTTTCCATTTCGCCGTAACTATGCCTTTGTAGTGCTGTCAGGAGCGATGGTTTTGATTAATGAGGTATCAAATGGAGCAGTGACGAATCATATTTCAAATTTTAGAAAAAAAAGTTATAAATAAAAAGGAACTTTATTTGTGAATCTGCATTAAATCAATGTACGATCAGTGTCCGGTTGTACCATAACCTGACGCACACGTCTACTCATTTTTTTTTTTTTTTTATTGTACAAAGAGTGTGAATGTGATCTCAGAACACTGTTATAAATGTCCTTTGAGATAGATTGTAGTATTTTCAATAAACAAGTTAAAAAATAAAATAAAATAAAGAAAGAAAGAAATTATGAATAACTTGAAAAGTAAACTTCTTTTTTCTGTATTAGACCCATTATTTTTTGAAAATTTACTAAATTCCCTTTAAAAAAATCGGCCCATTATTAACATAGATATAGTCTATTAGATTTATTAAACATACTTTCTTCCTATACGTAAAACGCTGCATAACGCCATTTTTTGTTGGTATAATTTTTACTTTTTTTAAGAATTTTAATAATCTTCTAATGGAGACCTTTATTAATTATGAAAGGTAATATTCACTATTTATAAATAAGCTCTAGAAATTTGTACACGTATTTTGATCTATGATGTTAAATGAAATATTGTAGTTGGCCAAGAAAAAACAATTAATTTTCCTTCCTCAGATAATTCATAAGATCTACTCATTTTTATATCATTTTGATTTTCCTTCACTAAACAATATATTTTGCGAATTATTCGCACGAGCCAACTATTTACTTATATCGATGAAACCGAAATATTAAAATTTGTAAGCTTTGCAATAAAAATACTTGAAGAAAATCTTTAAGAAAAGAAAAAAGAATAGTTTTGATGAAGTAGTACTCAGACAGCCAGTCATAAGAAATTTTATGTTAACCTTTTTGGTGGTATTAAATATATTTTATAATAAAGCCGAAATTGCGTATCGGCTTGGCCGATATCTCCCAAGTAAACATTTGGCCGGAAAGCTTCAGGTGATGGAAGAATTTGTCCGTGCTATTTAAGGTTCGTTCAACTCTTCGACCCCGTTTCCCAGTAGCTATATCTTCCAGGAAAAGATGAAAATATTTTCCGTTTAATATATATATACATATATACATTTTTTTTATCTCTTATTTTTTATAAAGTTAATATTTGCTGGAACTTGTTTTACTCTCATATAAATTTCCTGTAATTATAAAATTTTTGAATATCACCTTCTAAAACTGGTATTCGGGTTCCTAAAAATAGAATGTTATATGTGTTAGGCCGGATATTTTAAGTATTTTTTTTATGATGGGATTGCAGTCATATTTTCTAATATAATTTTGCTATTTTAATAAGTTTTTTTATGAAGTAAAGATAAAATAAAATTGTTAGTAATCACTAGCGATTCCAGGACTTAGTTTTTGGGACTTCAGCCCGAAAGTTTTTATATATATTTATTTAAAGCAATAATTACTTAAGAAAATTAAGAACCATTCTGGGATAGAGGAGGGAGTGCTTCATCTCTCACTCCTCTCCCCTGTAGATTCATCTATCATGGTAATCGAACAAACCATTTATTCTACAATTATAGAGTTGTTAATTATCAAGTTTGTTTCACGAACTATAACCACATTTCCATATTTCCGTGACCTATAAAAATCAGAGAATTTGGGAGTCTGGAAAAGTCAATAAATTTAATAGAAAAACACCGTAAGTCAGAGAATTTTACAGGATTAAATGAACGATAAAAAAAACACAAAAGTTAATATTACAATGATTAATACAGAAATATAAACGGAACACGTCAAATGTGTTATGTAATCTTAGAAGTTTAGGGATATCATACGTTATTTTATTTGTTGGTATTTTTTTTTTCTATATATATATATTCTTACAGCTATTTATTATGAAACTATTTTCATGACAATAATGGCAATTGTTCTATTTGGAAGCTTGTACGTAACAATGAATGCCTCAATAGAAGATATAAGACGTGGTCTTTTTGGAAGGCCAAAAAGCAGATAGATAGAATCAACAAAGATGCAATGGAGCTACGTGCAGATAACTGGAATGAAATCTCCAATGACAGGCAGAGACGGAGCAGGCCTGTTAAGACGGCAAAAGATCTACATGATCCGTAATCCTAACAGGGAAAAAAATGGCGATGATTTTTCAAAATGTTTTATTTTAAAAACAAGTTTTGTTTCTTATTTGTATGTTCCAACAAAGTTGAATTTTTTT